TTAATATTAATTATATTTAGTAAAAATTTAATATTATTTTAATCGAATTATTTACTAATTCATATAACTAATATTTAATATAAATAACTAATATTTAATATAATCAAATATTATTTAATTTTAAAAATGCGAATTGATTTTTCACAGATGTATTTATCTGTACAGTTGTTATTGTAAAACGACAAACGTTGTAAGAGCGGTCGAGGCGTGCCCATGCCCATATCATTTTGCACTCGCAATTCCATATGCATACATTTCACGGTTAAATAGCTTGGCAGAAATGGAGAACCCTTGATTACTGCCGAGCATTCTCCCGTTCATACGCGATTTCTGCGATCGCTGCGCGGACACCTTCTCTCGAAAATGTAACATGCATTCCGGCGGTGCACACGCGCGCCTTTTTTTCTATCTCACGAATCATTTCTTGCCATTAAAACTCCCACCCGTTGCACAAGGAACGTGCCGCGATACACGGTCACACAGTTTCTCCTCTACGCCCTGTCTCGATTATTATTCCTGTTATTGCTATTAGAGAAAGTAGAGATATTCGAACCAGATTGCTATAATATTTCCTGTGTACTTATATAAAGAATAATAAATGCGGAGATAAAATGTGTGTATGAGATAAAATTAAGTATCGAATCGGGTCAAACGCGCGAGAAATGTTTGTCAAGAATCGCTGCACTGTTAACAGAGAAAATATCATATTTGTCAAGTCTATTTAAAATTTCATTTTAAATTGTACAAATGATCTTAAATAATATTTTTAATTTATATAAGAAGATGCTGCCATTAAAGTACATAATAAACACGGATATATTCTGTATGTTTATTTTTTTTTTCTTTTGAACTAGAAATCACAATTTTTTAATAAAATATCCATGCATTCTGTATATAAATATTTTGCAATAATATAAAAAATTACAAAAATATACCTCGATAAAATTAAAACTTAAAATTATTAAAACGTCATTAAAATAATATACTAATATATTTGATTTACGTCATTAAATTAGCATATATTCGATTAGTATACATTTGTATAAATTTGACTTAAGAGAAAGAAGGGATGAAGTTACCTGCATGCGATGGAGTAATCTTTTCCTTCGTTGTAACATCCTTGGTGTTTACGACTGCCAGCAAGCAAACTTGCATGAGCACTGCGATAAGAAAGCCCGCAATCCAGCGATCATTTTGACGCTGCATATCTCTAAAACCAAAATGTTAAGGCTATATTTAGCTCAGACTTTTTTTTAATATAATATTATTCGGAAATCATTCGTCATTTATTTTGTAATGCGATCGTTTTGCTAGCATTAATATATGTATGTATAATTCTTATTCTGAAAATATGTCAGTGCCGGTAATAAAATTTCAAGATAATCCATTTTGAATATAAATTAATAATATGCCATTATAATAATATGTGTGGATATTTTAAATTCTGTATTAAAATCACGGAAATGTCACAAAATTATCGAATTTCGTCAGTTCGCACAGATATTACAGGAGAACTAATATACTACATCAGTTTCGCACGATCTCAAATAAAAACTGTTTTACAAGCCTTTCTAAGCAGCTGTTTTTATAGAACGTCGATTGAATAGGCTTGCTAAATAGACCCTAATGCATAATGCATAATTTATTAATTTCCGTATACATCAAAAAGGAAAATTGAATTTACGATACAATGAAGCAGATGGCATAAGCACTTTATTGCGTTACCTTGATACTATTTTCATCTTCGGTAATAGTCTCTGAGGCTAAACGGAAATTATTCTTTTGAATAAAATTAGATATTCCTATATCAAACAGGGAAAGAATATCGCCATACAAATTATTTTTATCTTTCCTTTTGCATTATTACTAGAAATTTTAATGTCTGCAATAAATTTGACAAATAAGATCGCAATGTGTTTCGCGAAGAAATTTTCTGGCTTGTGATATTTACTTTTTCCCCGCGATTGATATTCATCTTGCTGACATTGCAATGCCAAGAACTCAATTTCCCGCTAATGCGTGGAAATCCAACCGCAATATTACATTCGCTCTCTGGACGCAATTTGCGGTATTTTTTCATCTGATTACTGAGACGGGCGTGAGATGTTAATAGACATTCATAAATTGAAGTGTCCGATGCACGCGAGCGGAAAAATAGCGCACGTGGAATGATGGTGCGTCAAATCATAGCACGTACATTATTTTGTTATTGTTTAATGTTAACAAAATTGATGAAATTAATTCCGAGCATGTCTCTTGGTTGAATTTATCCGAAGAATTTCATATTAATTCTAAATCAACTATAGATAACGAGATAATTTATTTTTAAAAAGTGCGATCAAATTACTTTATATTACAATGAATTACATTTATTGAATGATATATATTATTTATTAACAGCCATTGATTTTTTTGCTTGCTAAATTGATTGCTAAGACTCCAAGCGCAATAAGGAAAATGGCTCATTATTTGATTTATATCGCGAAGGTAGAAATTCTCGATTGCCCCCGTTTTACGTTTCCACAGCGATTACATCGCGGTGAATTTTTATCGCGCTATACACTACAATGTGTATGTTTAATAGCATGTTCTTATGCGCATGGAAGTGTACGTTTCGACATATAATTAAAATGCGGTTCCGCAAGAATAAAAAGAGAGAAAACCCTAGTTCGATATCGGAAAATTATATCAAGCGTCGAAAAGTAGAATTAATTGAATGCATCGACACTTCAATGTGTAATTTGTGTGCAATAATTTGTATCATTCTTGTTTAAAGGCGAGAAGAGATTTTACGCTACGTTAAAAATTGCAATAGCGCTGCCTGCGTAAAAGAAATCGATCCAATTTTTCTTAATGTTTTCGAAATAAAAAACATTGTCGTTATCTATGATACATAAAATTCAATCAGAATTAATAATATTAAGATTACAACAATAAGTTTTCAATAAATTATTTAATGATACGCTTTTTAATTCTTTAACAGAGAAAATTTTTTGAAATTAATTGGAGTGAAAATTTAAAACTATCCTTTATCTTGTATATCAGAGAAAGAAAGAGAGAGAAATTTGAATTGTAAAGTGTTTACAATTTAAAGTAAATCATTTACATAATTTATTGTACAATGCAAAATGCTAAAAATAGATGCTTCGAACTTTTCAACTTATTTGTTTAGGGTGACGTAAGAGATACCATTTTTATTTTGCGACGTTTTGGAGATGCTATAGAAATGTCAGAACCTAATTTATTGGTTTCCTATAAATCTGATTTATATTTAATACTGCGACTGACTTTTTGATCCATTTCAATTTTATTAATTTTATTTTAATTTATTATTAATTATTAATTTTATTTTAATTTAATTTTCCAAGTAGCAAAGTAACAATATCAAATGACATCTTATTGGCGTTAGAAATGTTATTAACATATTATTAACGTTATTAAGACATCATTTGTTGCTATTTGGGTTTGTTATATGTTGAGGATAGTCCAAAGAAAGAATTGAAATATTCGCCGATATATATAATTCTTTAAATTAAAGTTAGTGCGCTTCACCGCGCTGGCTCTGATTATCTTTTCTCTATCTTATTTATGATTTAATTCTCCAGAGCCTTATTTGTAATACTTATCTCTTATCGAATATTATTTGTGAGATAACACATCTCATAAATGAATTCAGATATTCAATATCGGTTTCACACACAGAAAAATACATACTATATACAAGTAAATATTACTTGTTTCAAGTATTTCATAAGTTTACATTAAAACAACCACCCCGGAGGAGGGGGACATACATGCCAGCCTTGTCATTCTCACGTTTATTTTGTATACATCGCAAAAATCCATTTAAATTACAACAATGGTTGCAATTGCCTTCCGGTTGTGCGACGATAACCTTCGCGTGAAAAACGGCGCAAAAAGATTTGCCGCCCGTTTGCTTTCCCCTTTATTGGAAACGGCCTTGCACAATCCGCGGCAGTCCGTACCCCATCGTTGAAGGTCGTCCGATTTTACTCGCGTCGGTTGCCGAATAGCAATGATGCCTATTCCAACCGGATTTTCCTCGTGGCGCAACAACTACGAAAGGCGAGATATATTTTCTTGGCGAATCTATCGCGAACTTGAAAGGGAAACACCCATATCCCTTTATTTCACGCGAATGATCAACACGTCGAAACTTCTGCGCCGAACTATGGAATAGTACAAAAAGAGATTCGAACTTTTATATATTTCTTTTTATTTATTTACACGCAAAATGAGACGATTACCTTTAATAGTTTTAAAAAGTTTTTTTGAAATAAAATTAGATAATGTCGATGGTATGCATACATTTCTGATTGAGAATTATTTTAAAATTTGTAAGTTTATATTATACTTATCCATAAAATTTATTTTGTCTAAATTTAAATAAGTTGTATAGATGTAGATTATGTCACTCGGGCAAACTTGCAGTAATCATCTGACTAATAGCATGAACTTCGAGTAAGTGATTCGGTCATGCTCGCACGCATGAGGGAACTTGCGTATTTACACGTAACGAGCGAAAAAATTATGAGAAAACTTAGAAGCGGCTAGTAATTGAAGTTAATGTTAACGAAGCGCTTGTGCTACTGTTAATCAAGATTTACTGCTGAAAGTTTATTGTATAAAAAATCGCATAATAGGAAGTCTTATAAAATCGTAATTGAAAAATAAGTATATATTTAGTATAAAAACGTGATATTATTAATTTAATGTTAATTAATTTTTTCATATATTTCAAACTGATTACGTGATTATATATTTTTTATAAATTCATTAATTAAGAGAAATGAATTATTTATATATTAGATATTTTCATTATATAACACATGATCATAACACAATATAACTTCAATTTTATATTAAAACATACAAGATTTATAAAATTATTATTAATGTTAATATGTTTTCAGATGCAAAGTCTTATTTTAGTATTTTGCATTTTATAAATAATTTTTATATTTTATATTTTTATACTTTGAGTATTTGAAATTCTTTATCTACATAAATTGAAGGGCACTTTTAGATATCCGCAAAAACTCTCGGAAAGTTTTGCTCTATGCATCACGGCACTGTAATGCGGAATTAAAACGCACTGAATATACAATTAAAATTAACATTTTAGGTGACAATACTTCCGTAATTATCAACCAGAAGTTGACAATTAAATTGACACGTAACCATATTGCGTGAGTATCATATATGGATAATTATAGGATGCAGCTGACAATTAATTAAGTATTTCTTGACAGTAGACAATGTTTATAGAAGGTAATGGCAATTACACATTATACTTTTAATTAACAAAGAACCATACGAGATATCCCTCTCTGATCTTGATCATTTTTGAATACAGCTTTGTAAAACAGCTCAAAGAGAAACGTACCTTTTTATAAGTGCTTAAAATATATAACATTTTGGAAAAAATTTAAATCTAATCTAGCATTAAGAGTCATGAAATAATTGTACGATACATTTTTTTATATATTTCGCAACAATATTCTATAAATTAAATAACAATCAAATTATCTTCAAGGAATGATTTTAAAATCTTAAATGTAAAAAGGCATTGATTAAAACACTCGTCTCTTATTTTAGGCTATTGTGTGTAACATATTCGAAGTTTATTAAGATCAGAAAGCTCCACTTTTATACGTTTTACTGTAAGATATGACTTCAGATAATATATATTTTTTGAACACGGTTTTATAAAAAGTTAGGCAATTCTTATTGAATTCTGGCAATTTGGCGCTAAAAGTTTTCTCAACAATTTTCTCTATTAATTAAAGAGAGCAATAGCTTTTCAAGAATTTTGTAAAAAGAATTTACATAAACAATAAATTTTTTTTAAATATTGTAATTATATGCAACAAAAACCGGAAGCTCATCTAAAATTCCGACAAAATGGCGATCAAGTTAAAAATGGTTTGAAATTAATATAATTTCTATTAAATTCAGATTTCAGATGTTAAAAAGAGTGAGTTTTATGTTTATTCGTGACAATATGAACACCAATTTATTAAAAATGTAACTCATCAAAGTTACACTGGTTCCAACCCCTGATTAATGCAAAGGATATTGATTCGGTGTCAGCAGATAACAAGTAGGCCGATTCTTTAGGAACTAATTCAAAGAAACGAATAAATTCTGACTACTTATAATACTTGCTGGATAATGTTTCGGCACGTGTTGAAGGGAACAACTGAACAAGCAAAATACGAGCCAAACTTTATAAATGACGGGAGAAAGTACAGAGACACTAACTCGTCGACAACCCCACGCTACCAAAGGCTCGATTTGACATGCACCAATCACAAATATAAACGCGTGCCTGTGATTCATAATGAGACATTTTCCTATATATGCGATTATGTCTCACAAATCACTTTTTGTCTCGACAGAATTTTAGTAAATTGAGATTTTTTTCTAAGAGCCATTAGAAATACTTCTATAATCTTGGGATTCACAATTTTTTAAAATTCCTTAATATTCCGCAATATCTTATACTGTACCTTAAATAAAGAACATATATAAATATAATTTAATCACCTATTCTTTGTTGACACTCTGTCTCTCCATCAGGTTCTAATAAAATCGGAAAGATTCATATCTGTACTTTAATATCTCTTGTATGATAATAATTTGGATAGAAGACAGATTTATATAATAAAATTTGGCTAATTGTTTAATCATTTTCTTACCTTGTATAATAAATAAAAGAACAAATCGTTAACAATTTCTGTTACAAAAAAAAATAATAAAAATATATCTAAAAATATAAAAGCAATATAGCAATATATATAATAAAATTATAAGTTTGATAATAATTATTTATAAAAATAAGTCATTTAAAATAGAAACTGAAAATGTAGTTAAAATAATAGATCATGAGCAATCTATTATTTTAATATAATACGATAAAATACTAAAGGCTCCGAAAAATTAAAACTTGATAATTAACGGAAATAGAAATAGCAAGTAAGAGCCAGCCCAAACATGGGGCGTAAAAAAATTTATTAAGACATCAATGGCACAAAACAAAACGCGAATGTTTCGATCCTTTTCTTGAACCAGAAAACCTTCGTGTCGATGCCCGTAATCTACTGGACGTGTCCCTTCCATGGTTGGATGAGCGTGGAGTAGGACATAGGGTAGGATGAGATCATCCAAGTCCACTAATGTAGCATTAAAACGCATGTCGATACATATATGTGGGGCACTATCAACGCAGTAGATTACGAACATCGACACGAAGGTTTTCTGTTGATGTTTTTCGACGTTTTGTCTTTGACTGCAATGATAGTTTGATTTTTTATTACTATCTCACATGTTCCGGTATATGTCTGCTAGTTTATTGTCGATTCTTGTTTTTTAATACTGATTTCCGTCGCCTCTTTACTTATATATTTTACCTTTTTACGAAGATGGTCCAAGGAAAGGACCGAAACGTTCGCGTTTTTTTTTTTTTGTACCATTGATATTTTAATAAATTTATTTGCGCTGGCTCCTAATTGCCATTTCTATTTCCACTAATAATTAAATTTCTATTATTTTAACATCTTTTGTCACGATCTCGTTAAATTAACATTAAAAATTGAAGTAGGAGACTCTGATATAAAATATTTACAAACAAAATGGGAGCGGACTAATTAAGAGCTGAGCGCTGTAAGCGATGTGCTTTTTCTTTTCTCTTGTTAAAATTTATCTTGTACGTTTCGGTCTTGATTTCGAATCATTAAGAGATTATCATTGCGTTTCGTTTTTTGTGACTCGTAGTGCCTTGTCCGGTGAACAAAATTCGGATATTTATAATGCTTTCAATTAATCAGATCAAAGTAAATTCTTTCTTTACGACTGGAACCGGAGGAAGGCTTACTGAGCTTGTCCGGTGTGAAGATCACTGGGGTCACAGATACACGCATGCACGACAAAATCAAACTTTCTTTGCTGATGATGGTCCGAAATCAGGACTAAAACGTACAAAATAAATGTTAACAAAAAAGAAGAAATTGCGCACCGCTTACAGCGCTCGGCTTTAATTAACCCGCTCCCATTTTGTTTGTGAATAATTAACATTGATATTAAGCTAATATTTCGATGTATTCTCATATACTAGCGCGTTAATTCTCTAATTATCCTTGAACGGAAAGAAGAATTGCATTACATATAATTGCATATACATAAGCAACTGTGGAAATATCTCGATATGCAATCTGAAAATGTATCTTACAAAAACATGCAGGCACGTTTCTTTGTGACAAAGGCGCCTCGCTCCAGTTGTTCTTACAAAAGCATTACATTCTGGAAAGAGAGAGGCAAAAGAATTTACAATGCAGCAGACTTATATAGCGCTGTAGTAAAGCAATATGAATGAAATTTAATGATATAAATATGACGGAAAGATTTTAAATAAGTATTTCTGTATTATATACAAATGTGCTTTGAATGTATACGTATACATATTTTGTCTCTATGTATCTAGATACATGATTATAATGATACAGACATGTTATATATATATAT